GGAAGTAGCTATGTCAGTCGCTTGAGTTGAATTTGCGGAGACAATTGACATATAAAAGCCTTTATATGAGGATGCCAGTCAGACCTTGAGCCTTTCTGGCTCAATTTACCTTTTAACCATTTTGTCACCCATTTAGCCGCATTATTCGGCACTCGAAAGTTGACATTTGGCGTAGGATAGTTAAATAAGGGCAGCATGCGTCACACATTTATGTGGTAGCAATTACAGAATTATCTGCCAACTAAGGTTAAGAAGCACGAGTCATAATGACCAGCAGTAAGTGCAACCTCGACAATTTGAGTATTAAAACCATATTGAGGCCCCATAAACGCTGAGATAATGCATGATTTATTGAAGTGTTTGGATTAGGTTTAGGAAATGGCTCGTATTTCACGCAATATTCCGAAAGTTGCGAAAAATTGATAGTCACTCTAAAGCCATATCGAGTAGGGTTGCAATAGTGAGTAACGTGCAGCTTGATCTCAAGTCGCTTCGGTCATGGCAGGATGCCAGCTTTTAAACAAACTTCGTTGTGGCCGCTTACAAAATTTACGTTCTGTCGAATGTTGACCGTCGAAAGCGCCAAAGGTTCTACTATTCCTCACATTAGGTAGTGCAAATGTGATCACGGACACTGAGTTCACTCAGTCATCGAGAATAATGGCCACTAATCTCCCTACTAAGTTCGTTATCCCGCATGTGACAAACCTTTTTTACTGGGCAGTAAAACAGCCTACAAAATCTCGCAACCTTTGCCAACTGCTTCTCGAGACACGAATTGGACACGTCTCAGGCAATTTTAAAATGCTCAAACGACTTTCAGAGAGAGACCGACAACTGGAGAGAAATACGCACCCAAAAGTTTAAGCAAAAATTGGCTCTATTCATTCACGGGCCCAATTAACAAAAGACTTAAGAATCTAGAGGTTTACCTAAAACACATATCTGATATAAAGACAGATCCAATATCAGCTTCTGGATTTCAATTTTTTACATATGGGGTTGCGTGCTAAGAACGACAGTACAGAATGCTCATATGCCGATGTATAGTAGAACATATGGAAAAGGCCTTAGCGCTTAGTACGGGAAGAATTCGTAAACATTAATTCAGAGTGGAGGGGATGGACAACCTCATCGGGAATTCGATCAGCGAATTTCTCGGCCCCTGTGATATAATGTCAGTTAAAGACGTACGAGAAACACTGGCAGCTGAACACAACATTAGGAGAATAAGATCAAAAATCAAAAGATAATTTTTCAAGCAAGGCTAAAAAATTACTAACAACAGTAGATGATGAGGCGGAATTCAGAAATCTACAAATCGCCAGATTGG